GTAAGAGCAATGTAAAGTTCAAGCCATTTGATTTTAAGAGAGTAACACCAGTCCCAAGTGTGTGCAGTATTCCAGAAACCAACAAATGAAAAGAACAGTAGAAAAGACTATCTGGTCAATTCTCAAGCTTTCTAAATCTGATCTGTTTTCATTTAAACCAAGCTGAGCCCTCTTGAGCCACCCCTGATACTAAGTAACTGCGTAGGTTCCACAAGGAAGCAGCCCACAGTACACGGGCAGCAGAAGAGTAGAAAGGGAATCACAATGAAAGGGAATGGAAGAAATGAGAAATTACAGAATCTGGAATAAAACTGAGGAATACTAGTAATCTCGGCATCAAATGCTGCCCACCTTACCTAACTGGGTGGCACCATGACAATGGCAACACTAGGGAGCATGAGAAGGCAAATTTGAGCCACAGATTTATGAGACACCAAAGATGAGAAATGAGAGCAATGACAAAAATAAAAAAGCGGTAACAGAGTTTTAGCATCTAAAGAGACAATTTAAAGATTACTAAAATCTCATTTGGTTTAGTTATGCTTTACTTCTCATCAAACAATGAGTCCAATGGACACAAAAGATGAAAATGTCAGCTAGTACCAGAGATATGTCTAGGGAAGTGTATTACAAAGAAAAGTATGAGATTTATTTGCAGGCTTTTTTTGTGAGAGCAACTTCAGAATTTTTCCTCTCTATGTTGTACAGCATATTTACTTTAGTAATTTTTACTTTATTTTACTTTACTTAATTTACTTTAAGTACTTCACTGTAATTCTTATCTTGGCTGGCTAACTTCCTTAAAACCAGAGTTCAAAACAAGATAAGCACTTATTAATTATGGTCAAATTTTAACCTCAAAAAGGACAAGGATCTGCAATAGATCATAGAATACTACTTAGTAGTATAGCCTAAATGAGTCTAATGGTAACCAAAACCCAGATAACAGATTCTCAAGAAAATTATGTAGTTAAGAAATCACTTTAAAAGTTTTTTAAAATTAAAAATTTGCTAGATAAAGGATATATTCTTTCAAAAAAAACACAAAACTTGAGGTGTAAATTCAGTTTTTCCATTTAGGGAAGATGTAATAGTGAAAATGTTTCTTACATATGAAACTTACAAAACTTTGAGGCATCATATTAACCCATCTCTTTTCTTCTCCCTCTGTCCCCCTCCCTTCCTCCTCCTCCTCCTCTCCCTCACACCCCTGCTGTCACCACATCATTCAGTGATTTCAATAAGGATAGGAGGAAACAGTCTTAAAGATGATTATTAAGAGCAAAGAAACTACTGGATCAAAAGCAAAAATAATTAAACTTGATAACTTGACCAAGCACTCTTCATATCCATGAATATACAGTCTTCAAAAGTACTCCATCATAACAAATGATTGGAGACAGTTTATTTGTAACAGTCAGCCAAAGTATTTTTATTAAAGTACAATAGGATGAAATAACGAATATACCTATAGTCTATTCTCCTAGTAATTCTAATTTTTAAAGATAATGAAAAGATAAAAACTCTCAATACAAGGCCACCTGGAGATCAAAAATGCCATGTACTTGTAAAATTGAGATGACTAACTGTGGGAGGAAGAGCAGAGACCGTTTACTAATGTACTAATGCTTTTTAAAATTTAGAATTCAGAATAGGGCTTCCCACCCTGAACACTACTGACATTCTCAGCCAGATAATCCTTTGTTGCGGAAGGCTGTCCCGTGCATCACAGGGTAACAAGCAGCACCCCGTCCCCTCCCAGCAGATGCCAGCACACACCCTCTCCTCCCCGACAGCTCTGACAGCCAAGACGGTCTCCAAAGGGCCCCTGGGGAGAGCTGTGGGCTGGGGAGCAAACGCCACCGAGCTTGAGAACTACTGGCTTATAAGCAGGAAAAATGAAATGAAGCGAGCGTGCTGTTTTGTTTTTCTGCTGGTATTAATGTTCCAAGATAATATATTTGAGTCTGATCACAGACTATATTTAAGCGATTCATAGAAAACAAAGGCATTTAATATCTATCGTTAGCCAAAAGTTCAGAAGAGTTCCAGAAGATCCACTGTACTCCAATGACCCCTCCAATCACACATACATGCACATATCCACACACACCCACAGAGTACTGCCATGCTGAACAGAAGAAAATGCACAGAACTACTTTATCTCCATTTCTTATTTCATTAAATATATAGACCAGACTGTTTCAGTTCCCATAGAATCCAAAGGAATTCTCAGCTTATTCAATGCAACTCAAATACCACAATAACTGCATCACTCTAGAGAGGATAAACCTGAACCCTAGAGCAAGTATTAAACTCTTCCTCACATTTCAACAAATTTGGAGAATGACACCAATTAACCACAATGCTTGAAAAACGAAATAACTAAGAAGTATATTTGAGTTTTGAAGCAGAAGCTGAGTGAGGATAAGGGCAATGAAAACATTCAAAATCAAAAGGAATCTGAAGGCATTTCAGGATGAGGGCAAAACTCAAAAATATTCCCACCAGAATGGAAGGAGTGAATTATACACTTGGCCATATCCTCGAGCAACAGTCTACATAATCCGTCCCCAGTATCCACACCATGCGATGGAAAATGAAAAGTCCAAGTCCACAAAATATTATAGAGAACAGTAAACATCCATCCTAAACACCTGAAGTAAAACTGCTCTTTACTACTATTCTTCATTTGGTTTCTAAAAAATCAAATATCCATAAACAAACAAACAAAAAGACAACTTTGGAAATGTTTTCTCATAAAAATAGCCATCCTCATGCTTCCAGCAGGCCAGATTAAATATTACACAGAAAAATCAATTAGGAAAAAAATATATATATATAATAATCCGCTACGTGAGTGCATCTGATGCATAACAAAAGACCTTTTAAAAAATCAGACATTTTAAGTATTAAAAATATTCATGTATAAATATGGACTAAAGTCTTTAAGATTTATTTCAATTATCTTCAACAGAATTATATTTTAAAGTAGGATTTTTTTTAAAACCTATTCAACAATACTTAATTAGTTTAAAGTAAGTGCAGTATCTACGTACTCTCTAGTAACAAAATTACTTTATTGTAAAATTTTAGCCCTATTAACCTCCTGACTCAGTGAAAATAATCCTACAAGAAACTAATGCTCAGTTCTTTTTACTCCCAAGCCAAGCAGAGGAAGCTGTAAGGTCTGCAGCGACTGCCTGCTTTTCCAGAAGTAATACCTTGAGACTATTCAAGAATAGCCTCCTTCAACAATTAGTGTGACTCCGGTGGGTTTGGGAGGGAATAATGTCCACAATTCCTTGGTCAGTGGCCATGATGCCCCTCCTCCTCAAGGGCCGGAGATCAGAAAAAGGGATATGAAAAAGAGGAGTTCACCAACCAGAACATATAGGGGCAGAGGAAGAAGAGTACTACAGGAAAAATAAAAACTACATGGTTAAGTTATGTCACAAAAAGCAAGAGATTTAATGTTATCCAGTATTCATTCATTTCAGAGACACCATTGTTTATCTTCCTCCCCAAACCCTGCACAAAAAGAACCGTCAGCCTGCCTTAAGCATGTTCCTTCTTCCATTTAAACAGACATGATTCTTTTGGTTAATCTCTGGCAATGATCGCCATTTCACAAACACATTCAGCCCACCCGGAACTGATCAATACCACTACAGACATAAGACTAGACTTTATCCATTTATTAACCACAAGGAAATGTACCATTCAGCAAATTCTATACATTACAAAAGATTCTATTAAAAAGGGGGGCAGGGAGGACGGATGGACACCGACACACACACACACAAACACACACACCACAGACGTACACAAAGAAAAGACTACCACCCTCTAATTTCCCTGTGGCAAACGAGATAAAAGACATGGCCATGAAACCTGTCAATTCGCTGTCCCCCTATAATTCAATCTCACAACGTAGTAACTAAATATTGAATTTTATGATAAATATATCCACTGCCACTTTAAAATTGTTTCATATACAAACTAACTCTCCTCTTACGTACATCTGCACACCTTTGAGCTAGATGCTGCATTCATTTACAGAATTTCAAATACAAAAGCCTAGATAGTTTTCCAACCACTGGTTGCAACCACAGAACGTTCTCACAAAATCAAAATTTCAAATATAAATGGGCCAAATTCTTCTTTCAACCCTGGGCCAAAACCCATTTTATGACTACAGTGTACCTGACAGTATGTACAATTTCAAATGGGCTGTTCTAAACCGAAAACAATGCTCCAACACAACGCGTTTAAAATAAGTATTCCGTAGGTAAGCAAAATCTATGCCAGAAAAGAGCACATAAATGGTGGTTGAAAGCCAGCACATTAGCAACACACAGTGGCATACCTCTTCTGCACTGGGTTATTGTTAATACTCCAACAACAACTACAACTATTTTTAACACTGCTGGACACTGAAGTTGCAGAAAACGTGAGGGGACACCCAGATGAAATTGCTGATATAATGCATTGTTTCTCACGGTCAAAATCAAGTAGCAACTGACTTGATCTGCTGTGATAGTCACTGAAGCACTGATTAAAAGATGTTAAAAATCAATCAATCAAACAAACAACAACAAAACACCCTTATTTTTGGAATATGCCACACTAAAAGGACGTTTTGGAATACGCCTTTCGGGTCTCAAACCTTTGCATAAATTGTCACTTGCGGTATTTGCGGCTTAATTGCAAGCCAACCAGCGCTGTCATTCAGCGTTACGGCCACAAACCATGACTTTCTCACTTTCACAACAACAGAGCAGTCACTCTTATCAGTCGCCAACCAAACTCGAAAAGAGAAAAATTCATGGAGGTTTCCAGATCATAATCAGCCCGGGAGGGGTCGTGGGGGAGGGCGGCAGCCGAGGGGCTCGGGGTGGGGAAACCTCCCCAGGCTCCGCGGGAGCTCGCCGACCCGACAACAACCGCGGCCTCCGGCAGCGGCGGCAGCCCCGCCGCGCCGCGCTCCATGCACCTACCTGAAGAACAAGAGATAAGAAAGACGGCAAACGCCAACTTTGCAGCAGCTCCCATTTTCCCGAGGCGCCGGGGAAGCCGTAGGAAGTTCTCGCTAGATATCCAGTTCCCTGGGTCTTCCTCGGAGACAAACCTCCTGGTGTAAAATCAACCGTCATAAAACATATTCGGAAGCCCCGACAAAAAAAACGTTCACGGGGTCAAAAAAAGAGAAAAAAAATAAAAAATAAAAAGAGCGAGCACAACAATAAAAAAAAAAATGCACCACGGGGGGAAAAAACCGCCACACACAAGCACAACACACAAAACCAAACAACGAAAAGCCAACAACAACAAAAGCGGGTTTAAATCACTGTCAAAATCACTGTCAGCTCCGCTCGCCTCTCGGGTCTCTCCGAACAAAACGCCAGGCTGAGGCGACGAGGAGGCGGCGGCGTCCGCTGCCGCCCGGACAGTCCGGGAACCGAGCTGGGTCCGACGTCCGGACCGACCTTCAACCCGGACACCCAAAGTCCGCGGACCACTGGCGGCCGAGCTCGCGGCGGTGGCGGCCGAGACGGCGGCGGTGGCGCGGAGAACCAGCAGCGGGCGGCTGCGGTGGTGCAGGCGGCGGCCAAGTTCTGGTCCAGGCTCTGGCTCCGGCTCCGGGCTCCAGGCTCGGCCGCGTTTTCGGTCCCCTGGCCTCCGCCGGCCCCGCCCCCTAAACTTCCGGTTCCGGCCCGAAGCTGGAAGCCAGACACGGCGAAGGAACGCTCGGCAGCGGCGGCGGCGGCGGCGGTGGCGGCGGCGGCGGCAGCGGCGGCCGGGCGCAGCGCGCGTGCCGGGCCGTGAGCGCGAGGAGATTGTCGGGGAAGCGAGGCGGGAGCGGGGGAGGGGTAAGAGAGCGAGGGCGGGGCCGGCAGGAGGGCGAGGAGGCGGGGCGGACGGAGGTTCTTTACCGCGAGGCCTCGTCGTCCGGCCTGCTTGGTGTGCTGGGCGGTGGGGCTCGAATGGCTGGCAAGTGAATGTTGTTGGGGTCTCGAGTGCATGGTTTCCTGATCGTGCTCCACTGACCTTTCAGCGGAGCGCACGCCCGAATGGTCAGGGGAGCCCGAGAGGAACAGGACCCGGGGCGGGGCGGGGCTGGCGTCTGCGGCGCCCTGTCTTTCCTCTGGGGGGACGCCTCGTCCGCTCTTAGATCCCGGGCGCCGGGAAGCCGGGGTGGGACTGGGTCCTCCGCACTTGCGGGAGCTGGTGTTTGTACCACCAGTGGTAGTGGTGCGTCCTGCCCCTGTGGCTTTTGCTTTACGCATTTTGTATTTCGGTTGAAAGGGAAAGAAAAGGGGTTGGGAGGCGGGTGGAACTCGAGGAGGATGGGCTATCCACCCGGCCAGGATTTCCACGGCAATTACCGTGATGTGCAATGTGAATCCATTCCCTCCTTCCCTTTTGTACACAAAGCATTGTTGAGAACTGTTCTGCGTATAATAGGTTCTGAAGAGAAAACCTGCAAATTTTGATCGACATATTTGATCAGACTAGTGTTTACTTTTTCGAATTTTAGTTCGTTTCGGGCTTATTTTTACCCCTGAATCCAAGTTGATTTCTTAAAAGATGCTATGCTAGGCACGGAATGGGATCCAAAATGTAGAAGTAGGATCTCTACCTCAGGGAGTTCATAGTAGTTGCTATAGTCGAAGCTGGCTACAGAATACAAACCGAAGAGAGTATTAAAGGTACCAGCTTTGTTATTTACCACACTTCAGCGAGCTCGGCGTAGGCGCAAGTCTTATGTCTGCTTCCCCGTTTTATGCCAGCGTTCAGTATCAAGCCTGACGTGATAGGTGCTTAATGTGAATAATTATATGTGACTAGGGAATAACTGCCTTTTTCTTAAATACAGTATTCCCACATGTAATCTACAAGTTTTGGTGTTTTATTAATAAATAAATAAAACCTCTTTATATGGCTAATTCATGTTGTACTTGTGATTTACTAATTCCCACATTTCCCCACAAAGCCAAGCCTTCTCTCTTGTATTTCTAGTGTCTTATTTTTCTCTTCCTCTAAATTACCGTGTTTCTATTAAGTTCATCCTGTAATTACCTGCCCATTTCTACAACTTGTCAAGGTTATTAGTAATCACTGTGGCTCTTTAAACCCTCTCCAAGATTTCCAGTTCTCAAGTCCTGATGCTCAGAATTTGAATGATATTGTGCAACAGTTAAGAAAAGTCACTAGTTGGTCTTCAGAGTGTCTAAATGGTCTCGTGTAGTTCTTTGGACTTTATGAACTGGTCAGAGGAATAAATAGAAACCTTCCATTCTCTGATTAAGATTTGCCACTAACTCTTCTAGAATGGAAGAGTGTATTTTATTTAGTTCATTCAAGAATTTGATGTTAGTTATGCCCTGAGTCAGGCCCCACTCTTGTCTTATCTCTGCATCACCTCAGTATTTCTTAAATTGTGAAACCAGAGCAAGTGGAATAACAGGAATGACTAGCAATAGGACTAAAACTTGAAAAAATATTCCTTATCTTACCACCCAAATTTCCAGTATAAGAATGCAAGAGAAGATGAAAAATATTTTTCCATAATATGAAAAATGAGCAACAAGTCAAAGTCTTCACTAGACTATTCTTTAATAAAGAGTTAAAATAGCTCCTTGGTAGAAATTGTTAACACCCAGTAACAGTAGTTATCCATTTTGTTCCTGAATGTGTGTTCATTCCCACCCTCTGCATTTAAAAAAAAGAAAAAAAAAATCTAAAATACAATAGAAACCAACAAGAATCTACTGTGTAGTACAGGGAACTATACCCAGTATCTTGTAATAAGCTATGTGTGACTATGAATCACTTTGCTGTGTACCTGAAACACAACATTGTAAATCACCTGTATTTTAGTAAAAATTTTTTAAAACCTAGGAATAATGAAAGTATTCTATTTTATGTTGTTTCTAAAGACATAGCTATAGCAATTAGATCAACAAACTAACTTTGATACCAGGTATCAACTTAATAGTGACCATCCCAGTTCACATGAACCAGAAATTCATTTTTGGCTAGTTTCTTTCATTTTTAGAAATATTTAGTTTGCAAGTGCAAAAAATTAAAAAAAAATTTTTTTAACAGAATAAGACTTGAGAGTATGACTAATTCCCACTTGAATTCCAAAGCTTAAAAAGAAGATCGAGGCAGCTGCAGCTAACACTACTGCCCCTCTTTCCTTCCTATTTTCTATAATCACCTTTTCTTATCTACGAATCCAACACTTTCCTAACAATGCAAGCTGAACAAACTGGATTTAGGAAGGAAGGAAAGAAAAGGAAAAGGAAACATGAAAGGAATTCTGGTTTGCCTGAGCTTTAGACAATTATGCGTTAAACAGCTTTAGCTAACATCAGTCAAACCTGATACCGAGGCTTACAATCACTGCAGTGCTAAGAATTTCAAGTCCACAGTCCTGACAGAAGTTCAATTGAACTTCCAGTTCTTCCCAACTGGAAGACACTCAAGAAGCCAATTTACCCTAGAGATTCAAGTGTGTGTTGACTGGATGAGGAAACAGGTAAAAGAATCGAACACTGCTTCCTGAACAAAGTTGATTGTTTCATATGCTTGAAACTCACAAGGCTCAAAAACACATAGATTAAATCTCCAACTCCAAGGTAAGGCTGCAAATGAACTGGGCTGGAATTGACCTCGCCTTTGAGACTGGGTAGTATGCCATACATTGTGAGGAAATTCACCTTAAGCTGTTCGCCTGTCTTTGGATATGCCAACAGCCACAAATAAGGAAGACATGCCAAATTTCTCTTTCTTCATCTTCAGGAAGATGACAAAATCCCTTTGGAGAATGAAGGATATTGGATTCCCCTTCAATGAAGGATTTTAAAGTACTTCTGCTGCTTTCACCTACTGTAAAAATCTACTCCTGTGTTCAAATAACATGGACATTCCTGAAGTGGCACAAGTAATGAATTTGTTATATACCTAAGCTGTAAGGCATAGTACAAGCGGAACAAACTTAGTAACTTGATAAGTCAGAGGAAGGCAGATAATAATCTTATCTTCTGTGAATATTCTAGCTTTTGCTACTGTAACTTTCCTTTTCTACATATCCATGGCATTGCATTGTGCCAATCAGGCAAAAGACATGTACTGAGAAGAATAAGGATGTGGAAATGGCTAAGGGACAAAACATTAAGACAGAATGTTTTAGGTCAGGAAAGAGAAGAGAAACTAGCTATGATGGAAATAAGGTATCCAGCACTTTGATAAAAAAAGCTATACCAACCCAGCTAGTAGTAAAATCTCAACAACCAATTGGTTTCTCTGTAATATCCTAGGGTGGTGGTTGAGTCTCTAAGTCATGTCTGACTTTTGTGACCCCATGGACTGTAGCATGCCAGGCTCCTCTGTCCATAGGATTCTCCAGTAATTCTGCAGTGTTCTCCACTCAAGTATTCTTGAGGGGAGTGCTATTTCCCTCTCCAAGGGATCTTCCCAAGCCAGGAAACGAACCCAGGTCTCCTGCCTTTCAGGCAGATTCTTTACCAACTGAGCTATGAGGGAAGATCATCCCAAGGGTAACATTTGACTTTTTCTCCCACTGTCACCTTGTTTAAAATCCGGTAAATGTGTGGGAAATAGAACAGGTTTAAAATTTAGGGATGACTTTTTCCCCCACCCTCCAATTTATATACATGACAGAGGACTTAGTTTTCTCTCTTATTTCTAATAGTTTTCTATTTTATTTCTAAATTTTATGACTATTTTATAAATGCTACAACTTTTTTATTGCTTACTTTTTAAACTATTTTATTTCTAGTAGTTTTCATCTATTATTCATAATACAAAGAACAGTTGAGGCTTTGAGATACACTATGTAAAACAATGCCAAGGACTTAAGTCATTCAAGTTGAAGTAAAACAAAACTACTCAAAGTGAAGTTCTCAAACAGTGTTAATCTCAAACTGTTACTGATCTTCAGTGAGACTAGCATAGACATTGAAACAACCATTTACATTTTGTAGAAAATTGACAGAATAATTTTACTTCACTGAAGGTAATAA